GGTCGCATGCTCTCTAGCACTCACAATGGTTCCCATGCCCAACTCCCTCACGCGGATATCGTCAGCGATCACTTTTGGCTTCTGGCCCCTGTTCAGCGCTCCATCCAGCATCCTCGCCGCATCAGCATGAAACTCGGCCGAGAATGTGGGCCACTTGAAATTGAACGACATGTCTTGGGATAAGTGATTGAGCTGCGCTCCGAGAGCTTTCGTGATGTGAAAGTCTGCTGGCTATGCGAGCATCGTGCCTTGAAAGCAGGCGGTCTGGTGCTTCTGCCTGCCGTGTGTCTTGAGAGGGGTCAGGGGGAGCCAGGGATATATGCTGGTGTTGAACGGATGGCTGAGTTCAGCGGTCAGAAAGTGCAACCCGAACGGCGGAGAGACGTAGTGAGGAACGACGAGCGAGTCGAATGTTGAAAGGGAGGGTGTCTGCCATACGCAGGTGACTTTCTCGAATCAGTCGTGAGTAGCACTCGTGAATGGTAGGTAGTATGTGCGTACGTACAGGGGCATCTTCTGCCATCGTGAGCTCCTGGAGGTCGATCCACATTTACCATTTTTGATTCACGATTCGTGATTTGAAAGAAACACGCATATGCATCACATGCATGCATCCATCCCATCCCATCCATGCATCGCAGCCGTTCAGCACCGGCCGGTGCAAGCATCAGTCACAATAGTCACGCGGCAGTCAAAGTCGTTCGAATCTTGTTGACTGTGAGTGAGCGCACGCCGCTGCTGCTCTTGCTGTCGGGCTTCGGCCCACCGACTCGCACGACTGTGCCCAGCAGCAGCAGGGCGAGCACAAGCTTTTTCAGAAACACGTGACGCGCCTGGCCAATTCGTCGCGTCAGGCCAGTCAGAACAGAGTCGATCACGAGTGCGACTCTAAGACTCGCACTTGACTCAAAACGGTTGTATGAAAGGGTTAGACGGCGGATCGAGAGTTTGGAGTCATGGATCGTTCCCTCTACCAGCAGGGGCTCGAATCACTCAACACATCCCACCAAACAACTCGCGCTTGGCAATCCCCAACTCTTGCCATTCACACAATCACACCATGTCGGACGCGATCAAAGCTCGATTGAAAGTGCTCGGTCGAGCAGCACCGATCTCCTTCGTCTCCAAGACCAACAAACGAATCCTGCCCCGTCTTCATCCTCTCGACCCACGAGAGGCGCGCATCGAACGTTCTCTCATCCTCCAATCTTCTCGACTAGCACGCTCCATCAACCCCCACACTCCGCTCCTTCCCGCAGCTCTGCATCGGTATGTCAAATCAGAGGAGGCAACGGGGTTCGAGGATGGGATGGAAGCGCTTTTAAGAGGTCGAAGAAGAGCCTTGAGGGAGACGCTCTTCCCTAAAGCACCAACGCCTAAAGAGGTCGAGCGCGCAAATGCAAAGCGCTCAGGACGAAGCGACATTGCTGAAAAGGGCGAAAGAATAGGGGTCAAGCAGTTCCTTAGCACGATCGCTAGACCTCCGGCAAGGGAGGATTTGAGCGGAAATAGCAAAGTGGTGGATGCGTTGAGGGAAAGACCTGATGGTGTCAAAAAGGAAGATTTGCAAGCGCTCGAAGAAGGTCAAGATGCTCCGCTCGTCGCTTCCGCCTCTACAAAGCTGCTCAAGGATGCGGGTGTGGCCACGCGCATGAGAAAGTGAGCCTTGATCGTCGTGCGCCGTGAAGCGTGCACCTGCGCGGCCCCACGAGCGTCTTCTGACCTTCACTGACGCTTGCATGCACGACGTCTTCGCATCAGATACATCCATTGGTGCTTGCAGCGCGCGCACTCCAGATCTGCACTTTCTGAATCAATCATCGAGCCGAAGAAGCCGAAAATGTACAGAGGGTGAGTCGTCGCGGACAAAGCATCAAATCTATGCGCCCTCCATTCTCGTCCAGCACTAGCGCAGTCCCGAGCCTCCATCGCAAAGCATTAAGCTGACCTCTTTTTTTCGCTAACCCTTACTCAGGTGGGGTCCTCGGGTGCAGAATGGAAAGAGAGTGAGAGGGGAGAAGCGGCCTGGAGAGAAGTAATGCTTGGGCGCATGTGTGCGGTGTGAGGGATAGGAGTAGTCTGGATGAACGGCCCAGCGTACCTCAAGAGGCGGGCGAGCTTCGCAGAAGCTCATTTGGAAGCCATGCAGCTGCTTCCACAGATCGCAGGAGTTTCGGAGCGACTTGAGTACAGCAGACGTGCTCACCCTGGAGTAATCAAGGCACGCATGTATGCCACTTTCTGTCCACTCAATCCTCCACTCCTACGCTGCTTCGAAAGTAATCCAACACCCTCTTCTGCTCTTGACCGCCCACCCCTTCCATCTGTTCAGCTGTCAAGCCATCCTCGTTCGTCCTCGATCTGTCAGCCCCGAACTCTTCGACCAAAATCACAGCCGTATTGCCGTGGGCCGATTCTGCCGGAGGGGACGGCGCGGTGAGGTGTGAACTGCGAAAGAAGATGCGCAAAATTGCGACAGGAGATTGGCAGCTCCACTTACCCAGTGCGAGATGCAACGGAGTGTTGCCGAGTCGATCGGCAGGACTGCATCATGCCAAAGGCGTTTGTCAACGTATGAGGCTGTGCGCAACGACGACTGATCACGACACTCACTTGACCCTGGTCTTTTCGTGAGCTGTTCCGTCCGTTCTGGCTGGAGGCTTGCCTAGCATGCGAATGAAAGCGTCGTGACCATTTGATGCCGCTCGATGTCTATGATGGATGAGGCGAATTCAGCATCACGGGCAGCAGGGCTAGTGAACTTGTTCACACAGACCGCGCATCACATTTCGATGCCGCTTGCTGCGGCGCAAGCTTCACTGCGCTCGACTCACATGGGACATTGCTTGGCATTGTCCCTGGCATTGACCAGCGCACCTGCCTTGAGCAATGCTCTACCAATCTCCGTCAAGCCTTTACTGGCCGCATAATGCAAAGGGGTCAAGCCCTTCGGAGTCTTCGCATTCACCTCTGCTCCGTGATACAGCAATTCATCCACCGCATCCGCATGCGAAGCAGAGGTAGCAATGTGCAAAGCTGTCCAGCCCGATCCCTTGTCCACGCTCGACACTTCTGCGCCGTAATTGAGAAGGCAACGTAAAGAGTCTCGGGTAAAGGAGCGGGAAGAGACGGCCCAGTGCAGAGGTGTTCGTCCGTCCACATCGACAGATTGCACTGCTAGTTTGGCTTCTTCGGCAGATAGAGATGAGAGATGTCGCAGTGCGAGATTGGCATTGCCTAGGAACAGTGCGGCAGGGGTCAAGAGGATCGATGAGGCTGGAATCATCTCGAGTGCGAAGCCTAAAGCTCTTCGTCACTCACCATCCATGCACAGTCGACCCAAATCCTCGCTCATTGCTGCGGGTCCTGACATGCTGGATGTGCGTGACAGCAAGGAGATCCGATCTACGCAGCAGCCAATTTAGGGAGTTGTGTGAAGAAGAAAGAGCGGTGCAATGAGTCGATGATTTCCCGACTTTTGGCGAGAGCTTTCGACGGACCGAAATGAAGTATGGACTTGTGTATTGGGCTCGAGGGGCAGGTGCGAGGATTGAGCAGCAGTCGGTTGTTAGAGTCGGGAGTAAAGATGGGCGGATTGAAAGGAATCACAATGGCCGTAACTTGTGAGTGCGAACACTTCACCTCTCCACACAACATGTGCAGACCACGAATGGCGCAGCAACCTGTGAGCATGCGAAGGTTGACGCGTCCTCCGCGGACGCCGATGAGCGTGATCCGTGAATGATCCGTGCACACGCGAATCACGCTGCTGCTGCTGCTGCTGCTGCTGCTGCTGATGCTGCATGCTTGATGGAGCTGCCATGGGTGCCATCCACGCAGGTCTCCCAAATCACGAGTGGCGGACCTTGGAGCTGCTTCAGCGTTCACAGGATTCGATTGGCTATAGCGTCAGTCTTTCTAGTGGAATCCAGTCTACAATGGAGGCCCGCTGGCACGCAGACTAGCGCACACATGTATGAGGAGAACGGGTGACTTGGTACGAGCTCGTGACACAGCAAGAAACATATTGCGTGTCGGGACTGCAGCAGGCTTCGCTGCTACTAAGCTTTTGTCAGCGGGCGCCGATAGTTCTGTTATGCGATGTCCAAGCGAATCGCAGTGAGGCGTGGAGGGAGGCTGTCGTCTCTACGAGATGCCGCTACGACTTCTTCGGTGAGCCGCCGTTGAAAGTGGGTTTGACTTGATCATCCTTCTCCATTCCCTCAGCCTAAATTGCTTGAGAACTGCATCTCGCAAAGTCGGACCTTACGCCTTGGTCGCCAACAGTGATTCCCTCCAGCGATGCATCACTCAGTACTTCAACCGAGTAGAATAGTCTCGAGGGCTGACGACCAGACCTCGCCCCTTGCTCGCACCTCTGTAGACCACTTCGCACAGATCCAAGAATTCCTGCTTCTCTTCCAGTGCCCAATTGATCTTGTTGTTATTACCAGTGCCCAGGTCGATCATGATGTGCTTGTTCCTAAAGAAGAACAGCACGGAACAAGGATCGTACAGTTCGTACATCTGTGATCAAGGGGATGTTGGCGGGTAGATGCGCGGATCAGTTCAGGCAATCAACCGCATACAGGCGCTCCTGAGAGAACGTATCGCGTTGCGCACTCACTTTGTTAAAATCAGGCACCTGGGTGATATCCACCAGGTAGATCACTGCGAAATTCTTCACCCTCTCGGAGCACTGGTACAAGATCTCATCCATGGCCATGCAAGTAGCATCCGAATCCGTTCCAAACCTGATCACCACTACTCTTTCCTCCTCTTGCACGATGGCTTGATCCACGTGCCAGCCTGATGGCAAGTGTGGAAGGAAGTAGGACATCTTTCTGGATCTTAGAGCGCAGAAGGCAGCGGCGAGGTGAGGAGGAAGATAATGCGAGGGCGGGATGCGCTGTTGAATCCAGACCTGGATTGACGTGTCCGCGAGATTGAAGCGCTTGCAAGGTGGGCTTTTGATGTCGCAGAGGATGCGTCAAGCCAATCAATCCGTCCAACGCGTCTTGTCCGGGCCAGCGAGGTCTGCAAGCTTGCCGAGTTGTATGCGAGACGAAGCGTTGGGATCCGTAGGGACGAGAGAGACTGCCTTCCCTGGCCTGGGACTCGCTCTCTTTATCGGAGACGCAGCACGTGTGTGACAGTGCAAATGTCAAGAACAAATTGTATGCGTTCGTGCGAGGCGAGGGTCTGAGGCGATCTGACCCAGGGGACAGGTGGATGAAAGCGCTGAAGAGCGTCAACTTTGGAGGAAGTTCGGTGCGATCATCGTGATCACGAGGCGCGAATTTTATGCTCTTGACTTTCAATCGTGAATTTGAATTCAAAATTGATTGTGATTTGTGAGTGGCGTGCGCGGGTCACGTGACGCAGCAAGCATGGACGTTTTGTTTGGGGTTCGTTCGTGACCCGCCTTCCTTCAACTCGACCCTTGCTTCCCGTCCGCAACATCAGTTCGAGATCGAGCTTACCAACTTCAAGATCGCAAAGTGCCAGCGCTCTTTGAGGAGCCCAGCTCAGGACGGTCACTTGTTGCAAATCATCCGGGCAAGAACAAGGTTGCAAGGCTCAAGCCTCAAGCAGGCAAAAGTACGTTCAAGATTTAGAAAGCTAGCCAGAGTCTCCGTTTCTTGTAGATCTCCAGAAAGGCCATAAGCTCCGAGTGTGCGGTCCGATCGCGGCAACTTTGGATGTCTACACTGTGAGAGCCACTGATTGCGGCCCAACATCGGTCTGAGCTTGAGATACAGCCTTTTCGGACAAAACCACGGTCACTGCATACATCATGGCTTCAAGCAGCGCTTCCACGATCTTGGTCAATCTAGAGTTCGGGTGAGCAGGCACAAGACGCTGCACGCTTGTTTCGAGCGAGTGAGCTGAATGCGAAATTCCCTTTTGACTCCAACAGTGGAGGGCTGGAACAGATCACGCATGCTCCCCAAGCACGAAGTCATAAGCTGCGTCTTCCCACTCACGTGCCCATCGGCTGGTCAGCCAAGTCCAAATCGTCTTCCGATCTGATTGATGCGGTCGACGCTTCGCAGTCTTCCGGACCGGCAGCGGCAGACGATGCCAAGCTAGGCGTACAAGCTTCGGACAAACCTATTGATATGCGTTATCTTGTTTGGCACGTCAAGACTCATCTGGTAGCCGAGAGGGAAGAGATGCTTTGCGACGGAGAAGGCGTGTGAGTTGTTCAAAGAACTCTTCATACCTTCGCTTTGAGCTCAGTCTGATCCATGCGCGCGTCTCGCTGACCACATTGAATACGCAAGTCGAGCTGGGATGCTTGTCCTCATCAACGATACGGATTGGGAGCTGATGGGCGAGCTAGATGCTCCTCTTGAAGACGGCGACCAAGTCACACTGATCAGCACGCTGCATGGTGAGTTGAGACCGTATGGATTGCAGATACATGATGATTGGCTAACGCAGACGAGTATCGCACAGGTGGTTGAAAGCGGAGCAGTGACAGCAATGAAGCTCGGAATGATGTTGTACACTTCGACAGTGCTGCTTTGTCGCAATATCGCTTCTGAGTCAATGCGTCCATTGCCTGATCTTCAAGACCACTGCAATGTGACTTTGCCAGTCGAAGCGTCGAGACTTCTCAAGGAGTTTCACAGCTCAACCGTGCCTTTGCACAGCCATCAGCTCAAAGTTCCGGTCCATATCGGAAGCTTCTCGTCCAAGACGCTGATCGCCGACGAAGAAAACCCGTGTAAGTCTCTGAATAGCGAATGGATGCGAATCCCCTTCATAGATGTGGTCGATGACTCCAGAGGTCGATCGTATACGGTTCCCCAAAGCTGCCCAGTAGTCACCCGTGTGTGCCTGATACGCCAAACTTGCCTCTTGAACGTGGTCTCGCACTGCACTCGAAGCGCGCGAAAGCCATTCCTTCGCTTTCTCCCTGACGTTGTGCAGCGTCTCTTTTGTGGCTTGGTGGACGTGCGAGATGCATTCGCCCACTGCCTCACCGCTTAAGCATCGTTTCGTAAGAGACCTAGAGCCAGTCACCATGGGAGCCTTTGCGTAAAGTTGGGTGCATTGCGCCAGTAGCATCATTCAGTCCTGGAGCTCGTTGCTCGGATCTCGCCACGCCCAGGCAGAGTTGCAACCCCAGTGCCAGGATGGCTGAATGGCTGCGACGGAGCAACAATACTACTCACTCTGTCCGGTGTTTCCTTCGATTCCGAGTGCGCGGGGCGCGTCCTCGCCAGTCCGTGATCCACCGTAACCGGGAAGTTGTCCGCCGTGATTGGCTTGATGGGCGAGCTCTGAGCAGAAGACGAGCTGCCTTCAGAGAACACTCTTCGCATCTCTTTCGGAGGCTTCGGAGGCTTCATCTCAATCTCCATCGGTCCTTTTCCCTTGTCTCGAAGGATGCTCTGAGGGGATGGCGTCGAGACTGAAGAGCTGGAAGAGGGTGAAGGATGCGGCCACGCGTGAGGTGGAGCGAGAGAACTTCGCTCAGGAATTGTGAGAGCCCGTTGAATTTTGCGTATCTCGCGGCCGCTTGGTGCGAGCCCGCTTTCCAAATCCCTGGTTGCAGCGCCTTCTTTAGAGTTGGAATCGGCAGTCCCTTTGAGCATAGCCATGCCTTCGGCGAAATCTACAGGACGACGAGTCTCACGGATAGCCCACGCGAAGGGCCCTCCCGCGTGCGCATTATAGGCGTTGTAGACTTGTGTTTTGTCCCACTCCTGCGAAGCCCAATCAGAAACAGAGCTCCAGGCAGAGCGCGCTTTGTCAGCAAAGCCTCGCGCAGCCAACTGTTTACGCTCGAATTTCCGATCTGCTGAGCGACGCATTGGTAGCATGATTGGCCACCATAAGCTGGCAGATCGACGATGGAGGGTGGCAGCGTGCCGCGCAGCTTCAAGAAGCAGTCTTCGTCGCACGTGCTGTACTGAGCGTCTTTCAAAATGCTCAAATGTACGTCCATCGGCAGGTTTTCCAGATTCAATGACGCCTTCGCTGTGTCCATGGATTTTTTGCCCTTCAGCATCCTTCAGAGTATATGTTACTTTCATCGGTTCATTGAATTTATGTTCCAGCAGGATCTTGTGCTTGCGTCTTTGCCAAGGCCGGAGCCGGTTCGCGCTGACCATAGTGGAAGTTGTGACTTTGCTCGCGTGCTCCGATTGCGGGAGGTGGACCGCTCGTGGGGCGCTTGCAGGCTCCTGCTTGACTTTGGGTAGCCAACTATTGAGAGCTGCCTCGATCTCTTCCGTTGGAGCTCTGCTTCGTCTTGCGAGATGAGCATGGGTGACAAGCCCCCTGTGAGTCCTCTCAGAAGTCACAGACCTTCGAAGGATCCAGTGCGGCATCTTTCTCTTCAGATGGCTCTCGACAGCTCTGGCAATTTCTGACGAGTCATTGGCTTCGTGGCTTTGGAGCACATCCAGACGAACCAAGCGCTGAGGAGACATCTCGCTCTCGAGCTGAAGCTGGGGCGCGTTTGTGCGGTGGCTAGAAGATGCAGTGACACCATGATTTGCTGTTGAGGATGTAGAAGGGTCCGTTTCACTTGCCAAGTGGCTCGCTTGCTCTGTCTTTCGATTACCTGGACCAAACCAAGAACTAGTCCAGCTTTTTGACGGAGCGCCGTGATTAGGCGTACTGTCTAAGTGATCTTTGGCCCGTGGGATGTACTGTACCTTGTCGTGGAAGGTCACTCTCTTCGAGACGTCTTGTTGCGACGTTGTAGGAATGTATCTGATCTCTGGATTCCAGGTGACTCTTTTGGGCTCGCGCTGCGGGGAAGGCAATGCAGAGTCTCTACGTGGATGCGGCCTGAGAAGCTCGGTTTCTTTGGTGTTCGCATGCTCACCGGACACCGACGATGTGGATTCGAAAGACGTGCGAGGGGTGGAGAACTTGTCCTGTTCGCTGAGTGAGACGTGACCGTCGCCAGCTTGAGCCATATGGAGCGGCCTCTTCTTGAGCTTGGGGAGACACGCTTCGAGTGGATTGGCGGAAGAACATTTGTTGCCTCTTCTCTGCAAAATCGAAACAGATTCGGTGCTGGATAGGACGTTGTTGCTACGGGTCCGAAGAACCTGAAGATTGGGGAGAGCGGGGTTGCAGAGGTTCTGACCGCTTCAGCCGCTGCTGCCTACTCGGTAGCCTGGGTGTCGGCGCTGTGAAGCTCTTACCTGGATCCTTGGGCGCCTACGGGGCGAAAGATTGCTCGTCTGCTCCGTCTGCGCATGCCATATCGCCGAGCCTGATTGACTTCGTGAGGGAAGACTTCTTTGAAACAAGAGCTGGTTGCGGATTTCGAGGAACTGTGCAAGACCAATCACGCGCGAACCAAGAGTGCACAGGTCAGTCTCAATCAAGCCCAAGCAAGCGACCAGCCATCTTGTGCACAACGTGAGCGAGCCAGTCATGGATAAAGAACGTGAGTGTAAAACTTGTGTTGAAGCGGCGGGGTTGGAGCATTGCCATGGCCGCATGGCCGCATGGCGCCTG